GAAGACTGAGAGCAGCAATGAAAGGTGAACAATGAAAGAACTAGAAAGGATAATCAGGTGTAAGGATGTCTCACTGGAGACCAAGGCCTAAATCATCCTTGCTGTTTTATTCCCAATCACTATGTTTGGATGAGAAAGCTGGACAGTGAAGAAAGTTGACAGGAAGAAAATTGATGCATTCAGAACCTGGTGCTGTAGGAGAGATTTGCACATATGCTGGACTGGCAGAAAGACAACAAGTGAGTTCTAGATCAAATCAAGCCAAAACTTTCCCTAGAAGCAAAAATGACAAAACTGTCATATTTTGGGCACATCATGAGAACTCACATCATGAGAAGACTCTCTGAAGAAGGCAATCATGCTACAGAAAGTTGAAGGCAGAAGAAGAAAAGGAAGAACAAATATGAAATAGATTGACACCATAAAGGCTTCGGCGAATGGGGCGGCATAAAAATGTTTTAATAAATAAATATTAAATAAAATTAATAAATAAATAAAGGAATTCACAGCCTTGAACTTAGAAGAGCTGAACAAGGCTGTTCTGAATAGGATATTTTGGAGTTCATAGGGTGGCTATAAGTCAGAGATGACTTGATGGCACATAAGAACCTCCCCTACCACAACAGTTTTTGCTCTTTTAGGAATTTATGGTAAATTTTACAGCACCAAGATAGCGTTTTTGGCAGATAAGACAGTTAATAACAAAGTGCATGCTTAACAGTAGCATTGCAAAATGTCTTGAATGAAGATTGGCATGCAGAAGCTAACAGAAACAGGCACAGCTGCTCTGTTTGTGTGCCATTTTACTGTCTTATTGTACAGTTTAATGTGGTGCTTGGCTCTTTTATGCATGTTAGTGAATTAATAGTGTTTCCTGGACATACGGAAGCCCATGTCTTGTCCGTGGATTGTTTTCTGATTATTACACAATTGTTCTGTGATTATTACACAGCATTGTGCATGTTTCTCTGAAGAGCTGAATTGCCTATTGCATTATGCATGTGGCAAATAGCTTGGCTCAGATCACTGCCTTGTCATGGCAAAGGGGCTTGCGTATCTCAATGAAGCTATGAGCTATGCTGTGCAAGATGGACAGGTCCAAGCAGAGAGCTCTGACAAAACGTGATCCACTGGAGAAGGAAATGGCAACCCACTCCAGTATCTTTGCCATGAAAACCCCAGGGACAGTACCAAAAGGCAAAAAGATATGACGCCGGAAGATGAGCCCCTCAGGTCGGAAGGTGTCTAATATGTTATTGGGAAAAAGCAGAGGGCTAGTTCTAGTAGCACCAGAAAAAATGAAGCAACTGGGTCAAAGCCAAAAGGACACTCAGTTGCAGATGTATCTGGTGGTGAAAGGAAAGTCCGATGCTGCAAAGATCTATACTCCATAGGGACCTGGAATGTAAGATCCATGAATCAAGGCAAGCTGGACGTGGTCAAACAAGAGAGATGACAAGACTGAACATCGACATCTTAGGAATCAGTGAACTAAAATGGACAGGAATGGGTGAATTTAATTCAGATGACCATCAGGTATACTACTGCGGGCAAGAATCCCTCAGAAGAAATGGAGTAGCCCTCATAGACAATAAAAGAGTAGGAAAAGCAGTACTGGGATACAATCTTGAAAATGACAGAATGATCTCAGTTCGAATCCAAGGCAAACCATTCAACATCACAGTAGTCCAAGTCTATGCCCCAACCACTGGTGCTGAAGAGGCTGAAGTTGACCAGTTCTATGAAGGCCTACAACACCTTCTAGAATTAACACCAACAAATGATGTCCTTATCATTATGGGGGATTGGAATGCTAAAGTAGGAAGCCAAAAGATAACTGGAATAACAGGCAAGTTTGGCCTTGGAGTACAAAATGAAGCAGGGCACAGGCTGGTAGAATTTTGTCAAGAGAATATGAAGGTCATAGCAAACACTCTTTTCCAACAACCCAACCCAACTCTACACATGGACATCACCAGACAGTCAACACAGAAATCAGGTTGACTATGTGCTCTGCAGCCAAAGATGGAGAAGCTCTATACAGTCAGTAAAAACTAGACCAGGAGCTGACTGTGGCTCAGATCATGAGCTTCTCATTGCAAAATTTAGGCTTAAATTGAAGAAAGTAGGGAAAAGCACTGGCCACTCAGGTATGACCTATATCATATCCCTGATGAACATACAGTAGAGGTTACAAATAGATTTAAGGAATTAGATCTGATACACAGAGTGCCTGCAGAACTTTGGATGGAGGTTCAAAGAGGTAGCAACTAAAACCATCCCAAAGAAAAAGAAATGCAAGAAAGCAAAATGGCTGTCTGAGGAAGCTTTACAAATAACTGGGGAAAGAAGGGAAGTGAAAGGCAGGGGAGAAAGAGAAAGATACATCCAATTGAATGCAGAATTCCAGAGAATAGCTAGAAGAGAAAAGAATGCCTTCTTAAATGAACAGTGCAAAGAAATAGAAGAAAACAATAGAATAGGGAGGACCAGAGATCTCTTCAAGAAAATTGAAGATATGAAGGGAACGTTTCATGCAAAGATGGGCATGATAAAGGACCAAAATGGCAGGGACATAACAGAGGCAGAAGAGATTAAGAAGTGGTGGCAAAATTACACAGAGGAACTATACAAGAAAGAGCTTAACGTCCCTGATAACCACGATGGGGTTGTCACTGACCTCGAGCCAGACTTCCTGGAATGTGAAGTCAGACGGGCCTTAGGAAGTCTGAGCAACAACAAAGCTAGTGGAGGCGACAGTATTCCAGCTGAGCTATTCAAAATCCTAAAAGACAATGCAGTAAAAGTGCTACACGCAATATGCCAGCAAATTTGGAAAACTCAACAGTGGCCACAGGATTGGAAAAGGTCAGTTTCCATTCCAATCCCAAAGAAGGGCATTGCACTCATTTCACATGCTAGCAAAGTTATGCTTCAAATCCTACAAGCTAGGCTCCAGCAGTATGTGGACCGAGAACTATCAGAAGTACAGGCAGGATTTCAAAGAGGGAAAGGAACTAGAGATCAAATTGCCAACATAAGCTGGATCATGGAGAAAGCTAGGGAATTCCAGAAAAACATCTACTTCTGCTTCATTGACTATGCTAAAGCCTTTGATTGTGTGGATCACAACAAATTGTGGCAAGTTCTTAAAGAGATGGGAGTACCAGACCATCTTATTTGTCTCTTGAGAAACCTATATGCAGGTCAAAAAGCAACAGTGAGAACTGGACATGGAACCACTGATTGGTTCAAAATTGAGAAAGGAGTTTGGCAAGGCTGTATACTGTCGCCCTGCCTATTTAACTTATATGCAGAGCACATCATGAGAAAGGTGGGGCTAGATGAATCACCAGTTGGAATTAAGATTGCTGAGAGAAATATCAACAACCTCAGATATGCAGATAATACCACTCTAATGGCAGAAAGTGAAGAGGAACTAAAGAGCCTCTTGATGCGGGTGAAGGAAGAGAGTGTGTAGTTGGCTTGAAACTCAACATTAAGTAAACTAAGATCATGGCATCCGGTCCTCTCACTTCCTGGCAAGTAGATGGGGAAGAAATGGAGGTAGTGACAGATTTTATTTTCCTGGGCACCAAGATTACCGCAGATGGGGACTGCAGCCAATAAATTCAAAGATGCTTGCTCCTGAGGAGGAATGCTATGGCAAATCTAGACAGCATACTAAAAACCAGAGACATCACCCTGCCAACAAAAGTGCGTATAGTCAAGGCTATGGTTTTCCCAGTTGCAATGTGTGGCTGTGAAAGCTGGACCATAAGGAAGGCTGAGCGCTGAAGGATTGAGGCCTTTGAATTGTGGTGCTGGAGGAGACTCCTGCAAGTCCCTTGGACCGCAAGGCAATCAAACCGGTCAGTCCTAGAGGAGATCAACCCTGACTGCTCTTTAGAAGGCCAGATACTGAAGATGAAACTCAAATACTTTGGCCACCTAATAAGAAGGAAGGTCTCCCTGGAGAAGAGCCTAATGCTGGGAACAATAGATTGCAAAAGAAGAAGGGGACAGCAAAGGATGAGGTGGCTAGATGGGGTCACTGAAGCAGTTGGTGTGAGCTTAAGTCGACTCCGGGGGATGGTGGTGGACAGGAAGGCCTGGAGGAATGTGTCCATGGGGTTGCGATGGGTCGGATACAACTTCGCGGCTAACAACAACAATTTGTATATAATACCAAAGAGTTTCTTTTACAAGCTTAACTAGAAGCTGCAGGCAGACTAGAAACACTTGAGATGCCACCTTTCTTCTTCCCATTGCTCTGATCCTTGCAATTTCTGACACAGCTTTCTCCTCAGAAGCACAGAGGTAGGGAGGGGGAAATAGCACTAAAGTATTTCACATCATACAAGCTGTTGTATAGTCAGAGAAAAGCTCCTGTTATCCATGATCCTAATGAAAAGACGGTTTTAGGGCTGGATTTTTGTTTGGACCATGGAAAGCAGGACAATAATTCTACTTGCTTGCCAGCTAGAGGCCTGATTCCCCTCCCACCCTCAAGTGTTGGCTGTTTTGGTTTTTAAAAACAGTTGAGTTAAATGCAAATATTCATCTAATGTAATATGCAGGTTGGCCCTAAAGGAGGCCTGTTGTACAAATAATGTAATACATTTTGGCTCTAGAAAAGTTGATATGACCCATTTTTTCTTGCTTTGAGGTTCCCGGAATAGTGCATGTAGTACTTAAAATTCCTGCATGTTGCTAGTGTTTCCCATTAACCAGCTGCATTCCAGTGAAATACCACTGTGATGAAGCTAGTGGGTACTTGTCAGATATTTTCAGTAAATGTTAATTGCCAAGATTCTAATAAGATTCGGTGAAATATCTTGTCCTAGTTATGAATTTCATGTATTGTTGTTGCTTTAAATTTAGAAGAATGTCATTGTTTGCTTCATTTAAATGCAAAAAAAATTGGAGGAGTGATTGTGGATGTTAGGATTTCTAATTCTGATTTTCAGTATTTTTCTTCACATTTGTTATCCTTACAGTTTGACTGTGCAGCCAGAATTCCTTGAAGCTCTGTGAAATCTTTTGAGATACTCCCCCGTAAAGAAAAAGCAACCTATCTTTTGTCCAATAGCAAGGAAATAGAAAAAGCCCTCTAACTAATAAAATGATTTAACACTAAATGTGAAATTCTGTAACATGTCTGAGATTCACATTATCAGGCTTTTGCTGAGGGTCTTTGGTCCCTGTGCTACCAAGTCGTGCAAGTGTTCGTAGCAGCAAACAGCTGGTCTTGTACCAGCAGCTCCAACTGCTGTGCCTACCTTTTAAATTTCCCCACAATATCAAACAGAGTGTTGTTTTCTCTGTTGGGATCTTAAATGTGCTTGTGGGAAAATTAAAATGTGGATAATGGTTGATTGATTGATAGATTGATTTCATTTCTATGCTGCTTATAGTCAAAGGTCTCTGGGTAATTTGCAACAAAGTATAAAAACAATAAAATACAATAGATAGAAACACTAAGAATTAAACATTAATTTAAAATGAAACAAAAGAACATTAAAAGAAAAAATTAAAAGATCCAACCAGAAGTAAAAGAAAGGCACCTGGATCATCATATCATGCCCCTGAATGACCAGGGAGGTCTTTAAATGCCTCTGCAAAGGGGTCATTTTTAACTGACATCAAATGAATTGCAAATTTGGCACCAGGTGGACTACAGCAGGGAGGTTGTTCCAAAGCTGGGGGGCCACCACCAAAAAGGTCCTCCCCTAGTTGCCACTCTCTGAGCCTTTTGAGGAGTTGGTACCAGGAGGGGAAGCCCCAGAGGCTGAGTGTAGTGTCCAGGTAGATTGGGGTTAGGAGCAGTGTATTGACAGGGATTGTGGTCTCAAGCCATGTAGAGCTAGGCTTTAAGACGAGCATCTTGAATTGGGACCAGAAGCATACAGGCAGCCAATGCAACTGGGCCAGAACTGGTCCTATATGGTTGGACCGCTGTGTCACAGTTATTAATGTGGCTGCCTCATTCTGCACCAGCTGCAGCTTCTGAACCATCTTCAAGGGAAGCCCCACATAGATCTGATCTAGAGATTACCATACTGACCTACTCCAAAACACTGAGTAACCCCCACTTAGCAGTTTCATGTAGGTGTTAAATAGCATGGGGGACAGAACAGACCCTTGAAGAACTCCCTGCTGGAGAATTCACAGGGCGGAACAATATTCCTCAAGCACCACCTTCTGGAGATGACTCTCCAAGTAGGAACTGGAACCACTGCAACAGTGTCCCCCACTCCCATCTCGCCCAACTGCTCTAGAAAGATACCATGCTCAATGATATTGAAAGCCACCAATAGGGTTGTACTCCCCCGGCTCACTCCTGGCATAGGGTTAGGGGGACCAAGACTGTTCCGATGTCAAAACCAGACCTGAAGCCCACCTGAAATGGATAATCAGGTTCATTTAAGTGCCTGGAGTGGATTGGTAACTACCCCCTCTAGAACCTTGCCCAAGAAAAGAATATTTGATACCGGCCTGTAGTTCATATTTCCTGGGTCAAGGGAAGGTTTCTTAAGTGGTCTCACTACCACCTCTTTAAGGCAGCATGGAATGACTCCCTCTCACAAAGAGGCTTTGAGGACCTCCTTGGCCCAGCTGGTTATCCCTTCCTTGCTGACTTTTATAAGCCAGGAGGGACAATGTGCTAAAATTAAAGCTATGATAAAACTCAAGCATCGCAAAATACATACTACCTTTAAAGAAAAATGGTGCTTCAGATTGACACTGCACTTTAGCTCAGAAGTGGGGCATCTCTTCGTTTCATTTTTTGAAATGTCACACTACTATGGATTCTCCGTGGGCAATTATTGGGGCACGTCTAAGTAGTTTAACTCCTAAGCAACCTGGGTTATTGAAAATGGAGGTGGCAAGTAGCATGCTTACTTGCTCTTACAAGTCCCTGCCAACCTTCTTTTATGCTTGTGTATGAATAAGGTTCCAACTCACTCCTTCTCTCACGTCTTAACACTTAGCACCTCAGCAATGCTAGTATAGTTCAGAGGTTGCTATAGGAGTGGTGGTAGAAGCTCCAAAAGATCATATTTACAGTAAGTTCTGTGTGTAATTACTTAATTGTGCTGTTCAATGCAGTGTAAGCACTGATACCTTCTTGAATTCCCTAGCTTGAGTTAGATACAACAGTTCTACTGTTTGTAATTATTTATATTTTTCACTCCACTAATGTATTCAAATGACTGATTGTTTCATACATACTTGCATAACGATTATGTGAGCACATGTAAAATTTTACAGGCGATGAGAGTTTCACTAAGGAATTCTAATAAAACAATATGCTTGTAATTTTGTTCCCTTTAGAGAACCTTTTGGATGTAGCACAAGTAAAAAGATCACATTTTAAAATATGGAAATAGCTTTGTAAAATATATAGTGGCAGTTATATCATGAGTTCCTAGTTTTGGGCAACTCTGTACTTGAGACAACAGAACAAGCAGCTACAGATGAGTTGTATGACTAAGGGAACAGTGGATGATGTGGCTGAAATTTTTAATGCAGCTTGAGCAAATTAGATGTCCAATTCCATGGAAATTAGTGGTGATGCTGAAAATCCCATTCCGTCATGATAAAACTCTCTCCATGATCTAACTTTCATAGTATTGGTTGCTCCTGTGGAAATTTTAAAAAAGGATGAGTAGAAATGTGATTGTGAATAAAATCCTTAGTACTGAGTGAGAAACAGTTATTGCAATGTGTAGCAGATCTGTGAATTACAATATGTTTTCTTTAAAAGAAGATTACTGTGTTTTAATACATTATATCTAAAAACCATTTTGGCAATTAACAAAATGTTTCAACATAATAAATATATAATAACTGAAATGCTACCTTTCTGGAATTTGTCAAATGGAAAAAAAAGATAATACTCAGGCTAGAATATTTCAGTATGTGCTTTAATTATGAATATGGAATGGACAGTAATTGCAGAGCTCTTAAGCCACTCCTCAGTGGAATCCATGGTTTGTCTCAGAAGGCACTTCAATGCATGCCTGACTGATGAATAAGTACCCACTTACAGCTACTAGAAATACCAGGAGAACCTTTCTCTGAAAGGTACATTGTGTTGTATGCTACAACAGTGATAACTTGTATAAGACTGTCTTCCTGTTCTGAATCAGTTTCATTACCATAATAATATTAAGTGTGTAGTTTGCATTAATAAGGATTGCTATGCGATGATATGCCTAAAGTATTCTCGGTACTGAATATATATTAAAATATAAATGTCCCTGTCTGAAGTCTTCCAAATGAATATAATACAGAAGGAAGGAACAGAAAAACAAGCATATCCATGCATTAATCCTTCATGCAGTTGCATAATGTTCAGTTACTTGGTGGAATGGCCATCTTGGTAAACACTTTTGGGAGAGGATAAGCAAAATAGAAGCTAGTCCCAGAATTGCAGTTAATCATATTGATTTTAACAAAGAAAAACTCCTCAGGTAGCTACAAAGGTTTCTGGTTTAGGAGTGGTACTTCAATTGTTTTTCCTCACCAGTATTTAAGATGATGTGTGCCAGAGTACATAGTTTGCATGATTTCATTAGAAGAATGTAATTTTCTAATTGCCGCATTCCAGTTTCCCTAAGATTCTATCACAAGCTTATTTCTGAAAAGTTCAGTCTTATCGCTTGGCAGGAAGGGACTAAAGAACCATCTAAAAAATAATATCCACAAACAAGAGTCATTATCTTGCTAAGTATCCTGCATAGTCTACCTCTCTAAACTTGTTCTCTTTCTAAAGATTTCCTGCTAAAATGTTCTGCATTTTAAAAGTGCCACTTTCACAAACAACTTTGACAGGATAGTCTGTAGTAGCAAAAGCATTAGTAAATCGAGCTGCAATTTCCCTCGCGGGGCTTCCTGTCCCCTCGAGACCAGGCCTAGAGTGCTTATACCTGGCGGTGGGTGACCAAGACAGATTGGGGATTCTGCTGGTGTACCGTGCACCCTTCTACCCATCAGACTCCCTGCCTGAACTGACGGAGATCATCTCAGACCTGGTGTAGAAGACCCCCAGGCTGTTGGTCCTGGGGGACTTCAGTCTCCATGCTGAGACTGTTTTGACTGGGGCGGCTCAGGTCTTCATGGCTACCATGATGATCATGGGGCTGTCTCAACATGTCATGGGCCCAACCCATGAACGAGGTCACACACTGGACCTGGTTTTCTCGATGGGACAGGAAGAGGGTGATTTGAGTGTGAGGAATTTGCGTCTGACTCCCTTGTCATGGTCAGATCACTTCCTCGTGAGGTTTGAGCTCAGAGCTGGCCTTTCCCTCTGTAAGGGTACGGACCCTATGATAACATTATAAACCTCAAAAGGCTCATTTAGACGTTCAGTGTATCTGCACAGAAAAAGTGTGATTCTGAAGCTCTCACACATAAGATCTTCAACATGATTGTCATGCAAATTCTATGGCTATGTATTTGCAGAACTTAGCATCATGAGCTTCAGAGCTGAGGGTTTTTTTTCTTGATGAAGAACAGTGACTAGAACCTAGAGAGAGGTACATATGCACATAACAGAACACAACCATGTGTGCCAGGGAGTGGTGGTCAATATTTCCCCCTGGTAGGTGCCCCTTCTATCTCATGTGTTTTTCTTGAGGGCTGCTGCTATCATTGGGATGCTGAAAATGCCCTGAACAGACATGACAGATTATGAACACTGCTTTGGTTGTATTTATATCCATCACTCTTTTTAATAGTATCAGCAATAGCAGTCAAGCTTTCCAGGCAGTGATTAGCTTCTGTCCTACAGCACTGCTGGTGCATGTTCTTCAATTTTCTCTCCGTGCCTGCCTCTCCCCAAACGCTCATGTATCTGGATCTGGTAGTTCATTTACCAAGCCTTCTTGCTTTGTGATACTGCTGTTTAATTTTAGATTGGTCCACAGTAAGATTGGTTCTTCTTCATGGGCCCCCTGTATCATACATATGAGAACTGCACCTACTTGGAGCCTTGATTCAGGAAATGTCCGTAGCTGAGAAACTTTTGGTGAGAATCTCCCATGTACTGATAGCAGGTTCCCATCTATTCCTTCAGTTTCTCTTTGACTACCATTATGGTCTTGAGACTGAGAGGATTGGAACTGATGTTGGTACCAATCCTATCCATGCCTGTCTGTAATAATCCAGACACTGATGGTGGGTGGTTTTTGTGAATGCACAGGTGACCACTTGAAGCCCCACAGTTACAGGTAAGCAGCCTGCCTTTCTTCTTTGCAATCTCTGTACATCACTCATATAGGTGATGATCAAGCTGACTTGCCAGAGGTGAGCTGGTGTCCTTATTGTAAGATAGAGGAGAAAACTGTTCAGCTGAAAGAGCAATCAGCCCTGGCTTTTTTATAAAGGTGCATGGCGTGAACAAGGTGGCCACTCAGTTTTCATCTGTAAGCAAAACTCCTTGAACAGAAGCAGTCAGTGTGGCTACTGTGCATGTGGAGTGCACTTGAATCAGTGTATCTAGTTGAATTCCCACAATCTAATAAGATATCCCTATAGTCTGTATCACCCAGGACAACAGTGACCGTGGAAACACTGGGAGTCCTTTGTTTTTACCACGTAGCTGAGGAAAAGTCTCCTTTCTGAAGGATTGTGATCTTGCCTTATAAAAGGCAAGCACCCTTCTTAAGACAGGGGTCTTCATAGTTGCTTCAAGTGATGTGGTGGGTGAAGGGAAGAAGGAAGGAAGGTAACACTGATTGATATGGAATTCAGGTACTACTTTAGGTTTAAGGGAAGTGTCTGGCCTGAGTACAACTCTGTCCTTATGGAAGATGAAGTATGGGGAGTCAATGCAAAGTGCTGCATAGCAACCAAGAAGGCTACTTTCCAAAATAGCAAGCAAAGGTCTGTCATAGCCATGGGCTCCAAGGGTTTTAAAATGACAGAGAGGCTCCAGTGCTGTATGAGTAGTTTCACTAGAGGGGCAACACTGCACACCCCTCATAAAAATTGCCTACCCATCAGTGTGAGAAAACAGTAATTTTCAACTACAATATGAAAAGCTGAAATGGCAACCAAATAGACTTTTAGAGAAGAGACTTTTAACCCCTTTTGAAATCATAATAAACAGAAACATAGAACACAACAAAAGGTACAAGCATAAGGGTTGTATCCCTTTGATTATGCAAAGGAAGGATGAGACTTGCATGAGAGGCCCTCATAGTAGATCTTCTGGCTGCCTCCTGGATTGCCTGAACTGCAGTGAGGGCCATGGTTGGGTTAATGCAGGCTCCAAGCCATTATCCTGAGCATCCACAGGTCTGGGTGTCAGATCCAACCTTGATCCTGAGTAAGGTGGTCCTGGGTTTAGAGCTGGGAGAACACAGGATGGTGGTCCTGGGTGACTATAATTTCCATGTTGAGGCTGCCATGAACTCTTATGATATCAATGGAGCTGTCTTGGTTTGTCATCATTTCACTCTTGCAGGGGTGGGGGGGAGGGTCCATTTGGATGATCCAATCCAAGAGACTGATAGGATCTGATGGATTTCTTGGGAAGTTTCCAGCCAAGGCCCACATTGAGACAAAGAGGGCGCAGACTTAGTCACACCCAGTGCTATAGGACATGCTCTGCACACTGGAGAAGTGTGGTTGATGAAACAGACTCTATGTCAGCTACAGCACAAATGCCTAAGACTTCAAAGACTCCGAAGTTCCTCCAGCTGAGGTGTCTGATATTGCCATCTATCTATTTTTGTGCGAACAGTTTCAGTTACTGCAGTCTGATCTCATGAGCAAGGTGCTTGCAACAGTATGACCAATGGTTCGTTCTTTCAGTGACTGAAAGTGTGCCTCTCCTGATAAATAAAGCTTGCTGGGGGGGGGGATTGCTGAATGAATCCGGGGAGTAGTAAGCACATCTCTATATGCATGGGTAGTTCCTGTTGTCCTTAAGGAGGCAGTATTGGGACCATTTCCAAACAAACTTCAACAATGATGCCAGTTGTAAATATCACCTGTTTGGGTAAGGTGCTTGAGAGGGTTGTGACAGAGCAACTGTAAGCACTCTTAAAGAATGCTGATTATTTGGACCCATTTCAGTCTGAGTTCGAACCTGGTTTTGTGACTCAGTCAGCTTTGGTCACTGATGGATTATCTTTACTGGGAGAGGTACAGGCGTGTGTGACCCTGTAGATTCTCCTGGATTGACTCCATGGAGTAAGGATTGGAGGCACTGTGTTATGGCGCTTCCAGTTTTAACTGCAGGGTTGATGTCAGAATATAACACTGGGTGACTGTTCCTCTGACTCTTGACAATTGACCTGTGGAATTCTGCAAGATAGCATTATGTCCCTAATGTCGTTTAACATCTGTATGGAGCTACTGGAGTAGCCATTCATTGATTTGGAGCCAAGTGCCATCACTCTGCTAATGAAACATATCTCTGTTTCCTTGTGGCAGCTAAATCAGGAGAGGCTGTGCAAATCTGGATTCAGTGATGATGGGTTGGAAATTGAAAATTTTCAGTAAATCAAATCTGAATCCTGGCAAGATGGAAGCCCTATAAATGAATGGCTCCTGAATCCAGCAGATAGGAATTTTGCCTCTTCTGGATGAGGTTGCACTCCCTTTGAAGAGCAGTTTTGTGGTCTGCAGGTGCTCTTAGATCCATCACTGGCACTGGAATTCCAAGTACTATAGCAACTCAGAATGCCTTTTACCATTTGTGATTGTTTTGCCAGCTACATCCTTTCCTGGATGGGTA